TTAAAAGCAGCAGTTCACTGTTTGTATTGAATACTGATTTGTTGTAAACGTTTTCAATAGATGGCACTAGAGTCTAGCTTTAGGGTAACATTGAGGTCAAGCGGCTCTAATGTCGTTCCATTTACCCTCTATTGTGTTTTCTGCCCCATATATGTTCAAGGCGGGATACGGTTCAATCCCGATCATCGGTCACACACCTCACAGCGAGGCTGAGTGCCTTAATGCACTGTCCACAATGTGTCTATCACCGTTGCCATGCTGTATGGATGGCACAGCCTGCGGACGTGGCTACATTGTGGCGAGTGGTGCAGCTTTTTTTTTTTTGGGGGGGGGTAATTAATTGACTTTCATTTGCTGACATTCAGCTGAGTGAATGAGGTGTGATTTAATGACTCTGGCAGTCATCAGAAACCAAATCCATCACAACTTAACTGATGTTTCAGCGTGGCAGATTATCCCTTGTAACAAGTCATTAATTCCACCTCCAATGTAGCATAATAAATACAAATCATACCTGTCTGTGGGGAGATCTTCATGCAGAGGTTGAGTACACTTACTGCTCAAACTCCTTATGAAAGTCAAATGGTGTATAACCCAGGGAATTACTGTACTGTATGAACCTGGCACAAAGAACAGCACTTAATATTCCCTTTACACATGTATACCCCGGGGCAGGCAGAGTCTGTTTGGCACTTAGGAACTGTCATGGGTTTGCTTTGTGCCGGTTTTTCTGAGAAGCGTGGCTTGGAATGGCCTGCCATCCCCTCCCTGCCTCCGGCCCTGGGCAAATATTCAGGTCAAGCAGTGGCAAACACTCTATTCACCGTAGTGAGCCCATGACTACTGCAGGGTAGGAGAATGTCCAGCCATACTGAAGAGGGTAGCGAGAAAAAGAAAACTTGTTTGTCAGCCAAAATGGGAGACAAGGGGAGTTCAGGATTTTGTACTGGCACATGTCCCGAAGCTTTCCTTTGGAGTTTTAATTTACTGTGGCATGCTAGCCTTTTCCACAGAGGTCAAAAAGAGGATTGTGTGTCCACCTAACAATATGAAAAAAGTGCTGCTCACGGCTGTGTTAATGCGAGGGACTCTCATTAGATTCGGGCCATCAGCATTGTCGAGCTTGTTGACTGGCAAGGCAATATTTTTGACCTTCACCAGCCGAGTTGTTTGTCTGTATCATGTTGTGCTTTTACACCGAGGTGTTTTTCCCCTAAGCCTGCATTTTCTTTGCTTTCAAACTTGACACCGAATAGCTTTTAACTTTGGGAGGGGGGTGGACACTGCTGGTCACTCTGTGGCAAAAAGATGCGATATAAGTTCATTATGGTTTATAAGGTCCCTATTGATGGCGGGAGAGAGGCACACAAAAGGAGGGTTGAGACTGTGCTCACTTTAGGCTACCAGAATGGCCAAGGTCAAAGCCAGCTGTAAGGGCTAATAATACAAACTGATAAAATGAATTCAAAGGACTGCATTAGTGACAGTCTTTTGGGGATGAGGATAATAAAAGGCAAGCACAAGGGGCTTGAAAAAGAACAGACCCCTTTTAATCTTGTCTCACATGTTCCCTCTTCAATGTAAATTACAGAACAAAAGGAAGAGGGGAAAAAATAAATGTATTTTTAGCCTCCTCTCTATCATGCCACGGATTGATTGTCTGTATCTGTGTTTACATGCATGTGTGTGTGTGTGTGTGTTATTGCTGGTGGTGCAGATGTGTATGCAGGTGGTATATTATCTGAAAGTAGCCTGCCACATATCCTGAGTTATTACCATACTAGTAAAGGTGAGCGTGCTAGCTAGCTAGAGATCTGGGATGGTGATTTTGGCAATGGGAATGCTGGCGAAGAAACAAAATGTCAGCCCACTGCCAGCCCGTTAGATAGCCGAACATGCCAGCGAGTGTATTTTTGGGAGTTCTACACCTCATTGTGTCAGCCCTCTTGCATAATTTGACATGGGATCTCGTGCAATGAGAAATGAGGATGCGGAGAGGGAGGATTGGGAATGGAAACATATTAAAACATTATGCATAGGGAATGTGGATGAATTTTGCGCCATAAATTTCTCACACTGTCCACTTCAATAATTCAGGCAATGGAGCAAATCCCATTTTGCTCTTCATTGGCCGAGATATTTGTCACATGGCAATAGAAAGTCTGACAGGTTCTTGAAGAGTTCTTGGTTAGGGAATTCCCTGGTGAATTTGATTTAGTACAGGATAGGGTAAAATAATGACTAGTTTCATTCCAAAAATGAGTAAGCCATATGTTTCTGACTGTTATAAAATATTTTGTAGCATGAAATTGAGGCACCCTGTGGGTAACAATTAAAGTTATGAAGAGCAGCTTCTTTAAAACCTCAGTGGCCCATAGTTCTCTCTTTTAATACAGCAGTAAAATTGTGGAGTTAGCATGAAAAATTAGCATCAGGCAAGATTTTAAGATTTATTGTTATATTGTTGAAATATAAGAACATTTTCCTCTCAATTAAGAAACGTCTTTGTAGATAATTATTTTCTTAAGTGCTGTCAATCTTGAGGATGTTTTAGGGCCCATAGCTATATAGGAGATAAATTAAAGGATTGATCTGTTTCTTGATGCTCATGGCACCATGGCTATAGTGCCATGGCTGAAGTAGTAATCTTCTATCTATCTAAGATAGATCTATTACCAATGAACAAAAAAGAAAATGACTTTTATTGCTTTGGAATAGGTGTTTTGGAATAAACACTTTATAAATATCTGAGGAAACAGGCTTGAAAAGACAGAATACACAATTAGATTTAAAGTAGATTTCAAATAAGCCAACTCTTTTAGACATGTGGTGTTATGAAAAGAATCCCTCTACTAAACTCCTTTTTAACTCTACCCATTTTGCTAGTAGCTGTTTCCTACTTCAAAGACAGGCATATTGCCTAAACTGTCTCTGTGGCAATGACAAGTTGAAGTGGAGTACCGTTGCATATTTTTCTTTTTATTCATTCATAAATCTGTGTGTCTGCTCACCCAAGTGGCCTCTCAACGTCCTCTACCTCCCCCATACAGGCCACCAGTCTGTCTGACGACCGCAGTTATTGATCCTCAGGTAAAACCACAGGGTGAGCCATAATGGGCCAAAGTGACAGAGATATGTGTATTCATACACTGCACCTGACATCAGGCAACCCAAATCAGTTTTCATTTACCACAGACAGACACGCAGTCCAGGGGATTCTCTTTTAAAATGATTCAAATGGCATTCTGTGGCATGGCAGCTCTGCTTGGGAGCAGCCTCAGGCAGATTTGGGTCAAGCAGTGGCAAACACTTCGTGTCATGCACGTACGTGGCCCGTGGAGAAAGGGAAATCCTGTCATGTCTTTAGACATAAGTTTAGAAAAGGAAGGCACCTCATGTCTGCACTCCCAAGTAGCTTCTGTCTTTCACCAGTTCTTGTTTAGCCTGAGCTGTTGTCCCTAAAAAAAAAATTATCCAATATCTCAAAAGGAAATCCTATAGTTTGTAGGTTTTGTACTTTTAAAAAATATTGTCAGCTTTGTATACACTCCATGATCGGCGATGCAGCTTGTACTGGTAGCCAGTCACACGAGAGGTCATCAGGTGGATTCTTTCTTGACGAGGTCCTTGTGGAACAATGCCTTATCAGTTCACCTTTACAAAGCCCTTAACTGAAAGCTCAGGTCATTGCAAGGAAAAGGCCAGTGCACTTAACAATGCCTCGAGTGCGGCATGCCCTTGATCGCAGCTTTTAAGATGTGACCCCATTGCCTGCCTATGACCAGTATATTCATCAAGCCTTGTTGGACGAATGAGACTAGTCCTGCAACTGCAAATTCATAGGATGGTTGGCTCTGTGCATTAGAGTTGTCAAACAGTCGGTGGTTATGTAAGATACTGAAGGACTGCTACACAACTGTTGTTTATATTGACAGTTGTCAGTGTTTTTCCTCTTTATGCTATATGATTTTGTTTCCAGTATTTTCTTATTACAGAATTTTCAGTCCAAGTATTCAATTTCACTACACCATCTGCAAATGCTGTGTTTCATTTTTCCATCAGAATATTAATTGTGGTTGTGCCAAAGAAGCAGAATGCTGAATACACTTCCGGCGCGGTTGTTAAAAGGCGTAGCTGTTTGCCCACCATCACCTGCATCTAAATACGATAAGATGTAGATTAGTTTAATTACAGTCAAGGCCAGAGTGAACTGCAGAATGAGCTCTGACTTGAATATAACTTAGAGATACAGCAGCGGAGGTGTAGTCATTAAGTATTTCTTCCTTTTTAAGCATGCATTATTAATCTGCCGAAAGGAGGGATTTTAGGGAACTTAGCCCTGAAGCACAGCTTTAGGCTCAATGACGTAAAGATAATATGCATGTATGTAAGGCCGCAGTAATACTCCTTTAGCATACAAAAGCAATTCCACAGTCACCATGTTTTTTTTGGCAAATCCGCAGTGATGTCAAATCGCTCACAGCAATGGTGCCCATAGGTAAGCAGAGCCTTCTTCTGCATATAATATCCTGTAAACTGATGTAAATTAAGCACAATTTACCTTTAATGGTCAGTATCATCTGCAATCCATACGGGTAATGCACAATAATCAATTGCCTAATTGAT